GTTGTTGGCGTTGTTGGCATCCCTGGGGTCCGTCGTATACTTGAGCCGTATTACCTCATACTTGGATCGCAACTCTGCAATCTTGGTTATTCTCTCTTCACTCGTTTCGGGCAGACATTCCAGAAATATCTACATTTTTGCATCAAATAACAATTTTGTGTCAATTATTGTCAATCATTTGTCATTCTATTTAATCCTAAAATTACTGTCAAATCCTATATTATTGTCAATAATATTAATTTTTAATTATTAAAAATTTAAACATTCACATTATTTTGTACAAAAACTGTATACACTGTATACAAAAAAACAGTATATACTAACCACATTTGTATGGAATACACCGAATTTATTGATATGATATATGGATTCGATGTACAATCTATAAAATATGTAGAATCTAATGTTGGTTCTAAATTGGATGTTAAAAATATTCTATCTCAAATATATTTGGAGTTATTTAAATTTTCAGAATTTAAAGTCGAATAGTTCAAAAACTACTAATTAAATTTTAAAATTGATTCGATAATATTAACCTGCGTTAGAATCTACATCGAATCCATATATCATGTCAATAAATTCGGTGGCAAAATTTACAATATTTGATAAAAATTTTCTAAGTCGAATAAAATATTCGATATAAAACATTGTTAATTGCAGATTCGAACTCAACGATGAATTCTACATCGATTACATATATAAAAGAAATATAAAAGTAAATCTCGTTTTATGTATAAAACTTGTGAAAACATATGGATATAACAGTAATGCTATACAAAACGACTGCAACTTTCATAAAGTCTAAGCGAACATCTGGTTGTCTGTATGTAGGCGTCAGTGGTATAACGGTTAGCATAGCTGCCTTCCAAGCAGTTGACCCGGGTTCGACTCCCGGCTGACGCACACCTTTTGCACCACAAATCAACTACTTTTTCAACACTTACTCTCCAACACAACGACCGGAACCGACAACTCCTTAAACCCGACTGAAGGGCCGTCCGTCTGATGGCATCGATGCCAGTCTTGGAGTGAATTAGAGATAAATACTCTTCACTGTAACCAAAGTAAGGCAACAATTGAAATGACTGCTCCTCTCTGGCCCTCACATGTCATACACGTAATAATTATTACTGATCTGGTCTTCAATGGTATGTCCGGTGTTGTGTCCGATGTGTCCGGCGTTGAGTCCTCGGGAGGGCATCACCTCTTCGGCCGAATCAACGAACGAGAAGTCCTCATCCAATACTGTGTCCGACATCTCCTACTCTGAAATCAACAAATTATGGTTACATTTGTCAACCAATTGCAGTCTAATTGCAATCAATGTAATCATTACATCAAATTTTTCAAAAGTAAACAAATAATTGTTTTGTTAACAAAAAGTGCATTCGTTTTGACTCTTGAGATACAATTGACCGACACTTTACTTATTCAATACAAATCAATACAAATCTATTATCGATAACACAATCCATCAAAATATTGATTTAGATTACAAATTCATAAATCAAATCAAATGCTAATTTTTAATTATTATATGATGCTATTTTTGTATACATTTTCATTATAACTAAAACTAAAACTAAACAGTACTTTATTTAATAAATATGATAACATATGTCATATGCCGTCTCATATATTTTGTGTTCAATAAATGCATTCATTAACGTATGTTTTGTTCAATACATTTCTCTACAAAACTGTACCCAATATTTCTCAACAATATTCACCACTTTTCGAGAGAGAGAGAGAGAGAGAGAGAGAGAGAGAGAGAGAGATAAAAATATTTGAAGTGTTAAATAATTTTATTAATTATTAATTTATACACATTATTAACAATTGAGATGATATACAATATGTAGTACAATATGTATGATATAATATGTGATACAATATTAGGTATGATTAATATGAATACATTGTGTAACTACTGGTGAAGTCTTTCGTGTCTGATTAACATGTCTTTGCGTTTGAATGTTTGATTGCATCCATGGATGTGACACCCGAATGGTCTTTCGTTGGAATGGGTGACCATATGTTGGATCAGATGGTGTTTAATCTTTGTCTTATAACAACACAAATCGCACTCAAAGAGTGATATTTTATGTTTGAGAGACAAATGGTTAAGAAGTGACGGATTGTCTTTGAAACTCTCATTACATTCCTTGCATTGGAAGCGCTTCTTATGAAGAATATTGTGTCGAATTAACTCAAACTTGCGTTTAAACGATTTGTTACAGCCTTTGAAATGGCATTTATAGGGCCTATCCTTGGAGTGTGTGATCATGTGTTGGATTAAGTGATGTTTAGTCCGTGTCTTATAGTCGCACGAATCGCACGCAAAGGCAGACATTTGATGTGTTTGTGACAAATGGTTGAGAAGTGAGAGGTTGGCGAAGAACGTGGCCTTACATACGACACACACGAAGGGTTTCGAGTTCTTGTGGTACTTATTTGAATGCGTCTCTAAAGCACAGACATTTGATGTGTTTGTGACAAATGGTTGAGAAGTGAGAGGTTGGCGAAGAACGTGGCCTTACATACGACACACACGAAGGGTTTCGAGTTCTTGTGGTACTTATTTGAATGCGTCTCTAAAGCCGTTTCTGATGGCAACCAATTGAAGCATTCGCTGCACTGATACTTATCACACATCCTATAGTAGTTGGATGTCTGGCGCGAGTGTCGAGATGGTCTCTTCGGCGGTCTCTTCCACTTGAATCGCTTCCCATTTTCTAATCATTAAAATCAGTCAATCATTGATTGCAATTTCAATAAATCATTATAATTACCGCAATTGTTATTTCGTTTGTCTCCCGATTGGTGGCCATCACTACTGCCCGAGAGGTTCAGCTTATCTGTCAATACAAGTGATTGGTATGAATCAAGTGATGGAGTGATGGAGTCATCAACTGATGGACACATACCTAAGAAGGAGTCACTGTTTTGGTCAATCACTTGCAATTCAATGGCAAGACTAGTGTTGGCGTCGAAATACTCATGACATTGAGTCAAATGTGTT